AACAAAAATTTTTCTCTACAACTATAAGTAAACTGAAACGAAGGGAGTAGTAAATAGAAAGAAACAAGATTAAAAAAAAAAAATTATGAGTTTCCCCATACCAATGAAGTTAAAAATCTAAAAATAATAAGATTAAAATGTAAACTAATCTCAAAAAATAATCGTACATTCAAATTTATTATAGGATTATTTTCAAAATGACTCAAAATATGAAGTTAATCCCAAAACTAACATATGTTTTTTTTCCTATTCACCCCATAAGTTCACATTGTTTAGGAAAATGCCATTAGTTATTTTTTCTTTTTTGAAAATGATTTTTTTATTCTCTCAACCTCATCATCTTCAGATATTTACAAGATTGCCGTTGCCATCAATACACCAACCACCATGAACAATCAATTTGAAGCTCTTAATGCACCTCAAATCGATTAACACTTCTTCTTTCTCAATTCTTATGAACTAAAAACAATATTTCTTTTACTTTCTCTCTATATTCATCAAAACAAACCCAAAATTTTGATTCCAAATCTTCTATGGTTCATAGAGCCATTGAAGCTTACGATTCTTGGTGAGTTACTTTTTTTGAGATTTTGGGTGTTTGGAAAAGTCTTTTGTGTGCTAAACAAGTTATCTCACTGGTTGAAATTATGAAATGAAGATTTTTTGCAGATCTGTTCGTCTAGACGACTTCTAGGTAATTCGTCTGGCTGTAGACGACTTACCTGGAAGTCGTCTTGTCAATGCAGAGGTTAGTTTTGCAATTGACATTTAATTTTTTTTCTAGACAACTTACATAGAAGTCGTCCACCTTTGTTATATAAAAAAAGCTCCAGACGACTTATATGGAAGCTGTCAAGGGAAAACTGGTTAGTTTTGCATCTGAGCAGAATGTGTTAGAAATTTGACTTTTTCTAGACGACTTACGTGTAAGCCATCTAGTAGAAAATTAAAAAAAATTAATATTTTGTTTTTTTTTCGGGACGACTTACATGTAAGTCGTCTCAGGTTTACACTGAAGTCGTCCGTTCAACGACTTACATGTAAGTCGTCCATGATTTTATTCCGAGATTCTGGTAAAACCTTGCTTATTTTGGACGACTTACATGTAAGTCGTCGGATGGATAACTTACATGTAAGTCGTCGGATTGATGACTTACATATAAGTCGTCTATAAAAAAAATATTTTTTTTAATATTTCAATTGCAAAACTAACCTGAGATGACTTAAATATAAGTCATCTAGAAAAATAATTTTTTTTTTTCAATTTTCTACTGGAAATCGTCCAGAAAAATTCAAATTTCTAACATATTTCGGTCAAATGCAAAACTAACTTGTTTCCCCTAGACAATTTACATGTAAGGCGTCTAAAATTTTTCTTATCAAACAAAGATGGACGAATTACATGTAAGTCGTCTAAGTTAAAAATCAATTGCAAAACTAACCTAAATGGACAACTTCATAAAATCGTCCAGACGACCTCTGTGGATGTCGTATGCGTAAATGTTTAATAAAATTTTATTTTCTCTAAACCTATATAGACTAATTAATATATTTTTTGTTACTTCATGTATATTAGTCAATATTACTTGGTGATATTTATGAGGTTACCAACATTCATGTTAATTAAAGTTTCTAGCTGATTTTTAACTCTTCTATGCTAGTTTTTAAGTCTTCTACGCTATTTTATGAATAACTTGTATTTTTAAGAGTGTTAAGCAACTTGAAGATATGTAAAACTCATAATTTCAAAATATGTTTTCTCCCTTAGTTTTACTAAATTTGAATAAGTTTTTCAATACAAACTTGTAAACCTTGTGATATGCTTTGACTAGTTACTATTATTTGTTTTCATCTATTATGTTTTACTGTGATGATTATTGTTTTGAGTAGGAAGAAGGGTTAAAATGTTGTATCAATACGAGGTTACCTAAGTTCATGTTTATTAAGATGAGAAGAAGATTATTGGAGTTTATGATTGTGTATGGGAGATCCAAAGATGAGAAGAAGGCTATTGAAGTTTATTATTTCATTGATTTGTAAATGTGTAAACACATTGTTAGCACATATATTACATCTTGGAAAATATTATTACTGATTTTACAAAAAAAAATCACAATTAAAGGAGTACACATGCAAATAACAAAACAGACCATAAATAAATATATATATATATATATATATATATATTATTATATTTTAGTCGTCTGGAAGACTTTCCTGGGAATCGTCTGGAAGACTTCCTGAAGGAAGTCGTCTGGAAGACTTCCTGGAGGAAGTCGTCTAGAACACTTCTTGGAGGAATTCATTAGAAGACTTTCTGGAAGTCGTTTAGCGCATTATATTTTCGAAGACTTCCGAGAAAACTTCCCATAAATCTTCCAAAATCTGAAAAACATATATATCAAACCCAGATCTGAAAACCCTGAAAAAGAAAATAGATTAGTGAGAAAGACATCTGACAAAACTAAAAAATTCATAGAAAGTTTTGTGTTTTCAGGTCAAAGAGATTGGAGTGGGTTTGGAGAGTTTTAGTTTGGGAAAAGGAAAAAAATTTATGCAACATGAGTTACCAAATGAAGAAAAATCAGACATAAAAACTTACCAAAATGCTCAAATTTGTTATGAAAATGAGAGACATGGGAGAAGACTCTTTCCGAAAACTTCTCTGAAATCGTTTGGAAAACTTCCTGGAAGTCGTCTGGAGACTTCCTGAAAATCTTCTAGCGCATTATATATTAGACGACTATCAGCTAAGTCGTCCCCGAAGTCTTCTAGATCTGAAAAACCTACATATCCAAATCCAGATCTGAAAAACTTGCATATTCAAAAACGTTCAAACGACTTAAAAGTAGAGAAAATGAGTGGAAATTAGATAAATCTACCTTTATGGAACACACAAAAATACATATTTAAAATTAATAGATTTACCTTAAAATGAGTGGAAGATGAGAATCATGTAATGAAAAACCAGCAAAAACAAGATAAATTAGTGAGAAAGACATAAGACAAAAACAATAAATTGATATAAAGTTTGGTGTTTATAAGTTCAAAGAGATTAGAGAGGTTGGAGTGTTTTAAAATGATTAACATTACATTTTCTGCAGACATTTGAGAGGAGGAGAGAGAATGTGTAAAATTTTTTTATATAGAAAGACAAAAAAATCTAATTAGGTTAAATATTTTTAGCGGGAAACTAAAATATATTTAGTAGGAAACTAAAATAGAAGACTTTCTAGTCGTCTAGACCCTAAACATAATTCATAGACAAAATTAACTAACTAAACACTTCATAAAATCATATTAAACGTAAAAAAATGTTTACTATACATAGAAATATATACATATAGGTAAAATTTAATTTTTCATAAAGACATTTTAGATTTTCAGTTTTAATTTAGTCAAAAAAATTTATTATGTAAAATTTTATTTTTCTTTTTTCTGAATAAAATAATATTTAAGCTGATTAATAAATTTTAGAAGGGAATATTATGACGACCTACATGTAAGTCGTCTGGTTTAAATTGTTCACCAGACGACTTACAAGTTAGACGTCTAGACGCTAAACATAACCTCTAAACTTAATTAACTAACTAAAGACTTTATAAAATCAAATTAAACTTAAAAAATGATTGCTATACACAGAAATAAACTCATATAGGTAAAAATTTATTTTTTTCAAAATAAATTATCCAAGCTTTCCAAAATCTAACCCTAAAAATACATACAATACTACAACATATATTAACAAACCCTAAAACCAAAGAATATTATCATCAACTACTTTCACTCATCCATTTTGAAAACTATTCAATTTTACTATATCTTAATTTACATCACTTAAAACTGTATAATTACATGATCTTAATTTTCACTTGTCAAAATATTTTTGTAATAATTTTAAAATTATTTTTAAGATCAATTACATCAAACGACTTACTTGGAAGTCGTCTGGTATCTCAGACGATTCAGACAACTTATTGGGGATATATTCGTAAAAGTGACTTAAGTTTTTTATATTTGATCACAAAGGACTAAATGTAGTTTCACAAGACTTTTAGGTTAGTCTTACATTTGATTCAAAAATTTGGTTATAAGTTTATATTTAAAATCATGTTTTGGGTCATATTGGTAAGTTTCCTTTATTATATCTGCCCATGCGCAAGAAAACTTATGACAACAACAGTGAGTAACGCTTTATATATCCTTCACAATGTAACTTTTTTTTTGTCGACCGCCCATCTAAAATAGATCAAGTGGTGGTCAAACGAGCCAATTCTCCGAGGATCATCTCCGTCTAGCCGGGTCTGATCTATATGGGAAAAAGTATAGTCTTTGGTCTTTGCTTCTTTTGCTAGCGCATTTGCTCGACTATTCCTATTTCAAGGAGTATGAGACATGCTCATATCCTCGAAATCTTCTTGTAATTTCTAGAACACTTCAATTTCTGTCGTGAAAGTCGGCCGATCCTCCGGGTTTGTAATCATATCTACTAAATTCGAGTAGTCCGTTTCAACCGTATCGAAGTAATCCTCATGTTTCTCATACATGAGGTTATCCAAAATAAAATTTTCATTTGAGCATGCAAAGTTGAGAGACTCCTTCTGCACGACCGTCATCCGAAGACTTCATAACCCATTTGATCCTTAAGACTCTGCCCTAAACCACTAATATTATCATTATCAATTTATGACGCATCAATTACGCATATAGAAATTTGGGGACCAAAGGAGCACTATTTTGACCTCTATAAAAAAGAGAACTGTTATGATCGTCGTTTGTTTTCTTTTTTTCAAAAAATTATGACTTATTAATTTGGCTGGTAGGAATTAGGGGCATCCAAGGGACACTGTCTCGACCTCTATACCATGTAACGTTTTTTTGTTATCTGTGGGAAATGTAAGGATTCGGTTCAATTGTTTTTGTTTGGTTAAGTCCTAACCGGTCCTAAACCGTGCTTCTTATTATATATTTGAATCGTGATTGACGATTGGTTAATCAGAATGGAGTCAAAAGAATGGAGCTCCGGCGTGTGGACGCGCCTCCACGACGTCCGGCGAGGATCACCGCTAGTTCAGTGCATCACCAACTTAGTCTCAATGGATCTCGTGGCGAACACGCTTTTATCAGCCGGAGCATCACCGGCGATGGTTCATTCCGTCTATGAGGTTCCTGATTTCACACCTCATATTCACGCCCTCTGCGTCAACGTCGGCACGCTTACACCTGATTGGCTTCCCTCCATGAAAGCCGCCGCCGAACTCGCTTCTCATCTCGGAAAGCCTTGGGTTCTCGATCCCGCCGCCGTGAGTTGTTCCGGTTTCCGGTTAAAGGCGTGTTTGGAGCTCGTTGAGCTTAAACCTAGTGTGATCAAAGGAAACGGTTCTGAGATCATTGCTCTCTCGGGCTCTGGTTCGCAGGGTCACACTAAGGTATCTTTACTCTGATCTTTAAAGGTTCAAGAATCTTGTTAAAGAGAGGTTTTGATTAGTGTAACTGAACTTTGTTAGGGTGCGGATAGTTCTCATGAATCTACAGAGGCTATAGAAGCTGCCAAGTCGTTAGCTTTGTCGAGTGGTGCTGTGGTTGCAGTTTCAGGAGCTGTTGATATCGTTACAGATGGGAAACGGGTTATTGGTGTCCACAACGGGACAAAGATGATGCAGAAGATCACTGCAACCGGATGTTCTCTATCTGCTCTGGTTGCAGCGTTTCTTTCTGTTGATCCATTACAGCCACTGGAAGCTACTGTTTCCGCTATGTCTGTCTTTGGCATCGCAGGTGAGTTGGGTGAAGATATGGCCAAGGGTCCAGGTTCATTGAGAATGCATTTGATTGATTCTCTTTACCGTTTAGATGAAACCACAGTGCTTAGCCGTGTGAAAATCACCAAGTTGTGTTGATCTTACAAGACTCTTTGTGATTTGCTTTCAATCAATAAGTGTTACACATAACAAACAAACAAAAAAAGAACATTCACACATGTATACAATTTTGATTCTCTTAGTACTTTAGATGGACAATGATCCTTAGTAAAGACTCTGCACCGTCCACTTGATGCTGACCAGATGGAATCAAAGGCCTGACCTCGGCAAAGCCACAAGCGTTCTTGAACCTACCTGTTCCTCCAGTCACTGACAGATGCGACATGGCGCTTCCGATCCTGTAAATTCCATAGAAGTTGAGGTTGTCGTTGTACTCTCCACCTTCAAGCATAGCCGTGAAAGCCATCATCTGCGTGCTTCCATCTCCAGAACTTGCAACGTAAACTCCTTGAGCTTTACCAAGCGGCTGCGAACCCAAGTCAGGACCAGATGTGAGTATGTCATCAATGACCGTGATTGTGCCAAACCCGAGACTCAAACCATCAGGACCCAGTTGAGTCTGAATCCCGTTCAGGTTCTGACCAGAGTAAGCTGTACCGGACAAGCCTGTCCCTAGAGGTACACCGTTGATACCGTTAACGGTCGGGAGGGCGCCGTTTGCATTGGGTACGGCTATACCGTTTTCGGGAGGAGTGAAACCAATCTGCTTAGCGAAAGGAACTTGACCGTTGTAGATGTTGCCGAGCAAACCTGTGATTGGTCTCGCCGTGGGGCTGCCTCCTCCAAGTATATCGTGCATGTAGAGTTCGAAAATGGGGTCTTCTTCGGGTGGCGGTTCAAGTGCTGCTGCGAAAACAGCTAGTGTGAGCAAGAAGAAAAGCAAGAATGGTGATTGCTTAATCATGATGATGATGGAGAATGTACGTTGTTTCTCTGTTTGGAAGAAGAATATTATGAACTGATTTAAGTAAGATTGTTTGATGAATAAGTGAGAGGTGTGCAATGGTGTGTGTGTTTAAATAGAGAGGTAGTGATTGTGAAGTTGTTCAGGTTTATGAGTTGTTGTTAGTGTAGTTGTTGAATGTCGAGTTCAGTTCTGTATAATAGCTTTGTTATATTTTTGAGCCATAAAATTTTCTGAAAACACCAAACAAAACATAATAATCATATTAGACATTGCGAGCTCCCTCTTTGATTTAGTGGGTTCCATATTACTTTTCAATAGGGGTGGGCGTTCGGGTACCCATTCGGGTTCGGTTCAGATCTATTTGGGTTTTGGGTTTTCGGGTTCACAAATTTTAGTCCCATTCGGATATTTCTAAATTTCGGTTCGGGTTCGGTTCGGATCTTTGCGGGTTCGGTTCGGGTTCGGATAACCCATTTAAATTAGTTTGAAAATTTTAAAATTGATTATATACTTTACATTTCTAAAAATCTATAAAGAAAATAACATATTACAAATAATTGAATAACATAAGTCAAAATGCCTAAAATTAACATATAAATTAGTTTGATTTGAATATTTGGATTGTGAATCAATAATTTTTTTAAGTATTTTTGATGTTTTAAGTGTACTTTAGTAATTTTAGACATGTATGTTTGACTATTTACATATATTTACAAGTATTTTGAACAACTACAACGTATTTTATATATATTGAATGTTTTTTATATATACATTAAATCTAAAAATAACTAATATATATAGGTATATAAATCTCTTTCGGATATATTCGGGTACCTGAAATACTTCGGTTTAGGTCGGGTTCGGTTTCAGTTCTTTAAATACCAAAATTTTGAACCCATTCGGATATTGAATCAATTTCGGTTCGGATTCGATACTACTTTTTCGGATCGGGTTCGGTTCGGTTCTTCGGATCCGGGTTTTTTGCCCAGCCCTACTTTTGAATTTAAAATTTAAGACAAGTTGTAGCTTAATTATGGTGGTTTAGGTTGAATTTTACGGTTCAGTGCAAGAAAATAAGAAAAACAAACATTACCAAAGGCCAAAAGTTTATATCCTCCTATAGTTTGCTTTTGTATAAATCTGAAAATTAATAAACGGATTTAGTTTGGGTAAGAGAGAGAAGGATATAAAAACATTTTAAAGAGAGAGAGAGAATTGCGAATAATAATATCTTGCATCCTGCGAAACCCTAAATACCCAAATGTCATTTGCCGAGGAGTTTGAATCTAGTAAGCATCTTTCTTCTCGATTTCTTTCTGTGAATTGACGAACGAATTATTCAATTAGGCAGTAATCTCTTGTGAAATTGCTTCTCCTTCTTACGTTCGTTAGCTATGCGATTTCCCTAAAGTTTTTTAACCTTTTTTGAATGATTGATTTCTTGTTATTATGTATGGTTTTGTCGAATAAAATGGAAACTTAATTTGAGTTTTGAAGAATCAGATTTTACATCATTTGACGAAACACTATGTTGTAGATTTGATAAAAGCTTTTGTCTGGGGCAGTTTATGGTCGTGTATAAGGAGGATGAGAGAATGATTCGCTAATCCTTGGCAATAACACTGTCTTGTGCTACTAACCTGCTTGTTCTTGTACTAGTAGTTTCAGTTAGAGAACAAAAATGTTAGTGTGTTTTGCTATGTCCTTGTCTTTGGATATGACCTGTTTGTTTCATGATATTTTGTCTACGCAGATCTTGTGTCACTAGCCCATGTTTTGCAGAAGAAATATGCACTCCTCCGTGATTTGGATAAAAGTTTGCAAGGTAACACACAATCAATAATCTCTTTAGTATGCAGATTAAAAGCACCATCCTAGTCTCTATGTATCCTTCTTTGGTTATATATATATCCACATTTGATAAGTATCATCACAATCTTTCCTTGTGTTAGAGATATGAGCTGTTTGATATAAACCAAGACTCTGTTAAGAGCATATACGCATGCTGTTTATTTATTGTTTTTTTTTGTTTATGTTTTTTGAGTAGAAAATCAAAGGCAAAATGAACAACGGTGTGAAAAAGAGATAGAGGACATAAGAAGAGGCAGAAGTGGAAATAATGTCACACCCAATACACACTTCTCCGAGGAAGCAATTGATGAACAGAAGCACAGTGTCAGGATTGCTGATGAGAAAGTCGCTTTGGCTATGCAGGCTTATGATCTGGTAAAATATTCTTCTCATTCATCTGTCTTCTTTAAGACGATACTTCACTGTTATGGTAATCTGATCTTGGATTCTGTATAGCTTTAAGTAATATTCCTTTTAAAAGTCAATTATTTTTCAGATGATATATATTACTTCAGGTGGATATGCATGTTCAGCAACTTGACCAGTTTATGAAAAAATCCAATGAGGAGATGCGACGAGGTCTTTTCTCGTTTGGTCTTAATAAACTTTTAAAGCTTGAGCTTCTCTGTTATCTGATTTGACTCTTTGGTTTCTATCAGAGAAAGAAAATGCTGCTGCATCAAACCTCGAGAACAGCGGGGAGGCAGGGAAGGCAGGTGAAGGTAGAAGAGGGGGGCGAAAGAAGTAGGTTATTAATTTATTTTTATTTTTTATCTCAGTCTATTACATTGCCTAAACCTTAGCAAAAGGAGCTTAGGTCTAATGAAATCATCCATATAAAGTTGTGGCAGGACAAGGCTAGCAACAGCAGCAGTAGCATCAGCATCAGCATCAACAGGTATGACTTCAACTGGTATGGATTTGGATCTGCCTGTGGATCCAAACGAACCAACTTACTGCCTCTGCAACCAAGTTAGCTATGGCGAGATGATTGCCTGCGATAACAATGAGGTAAAAAGTTTCTTTTAACTAATAATGCGTCTCATTTTCTATATTATGAGACGACTGATGTATAAAAAGAACTTCATTTACAGTGTAAGATTGAGTGGTTCCATTTTGGTTGCGTGGGGCTGAAAGATCAACCCAAAGGAAAATGGTACTGTCCGGATTGTGCTACAGTCAAGAAAAGCAGGAAAGGCCGATGATTTTGAATCTGCATAGCTCTTGTGTTTCGGTTTAAAACGGTCTAGTAGTTGTATATCTACTTCCATGTAAGCCATTGACATTGAATAGTGCTATATATATATAAGACCTTCCATTCCAATAAACACAAGATAAGATATAAAGTACTAGTTAAAGACCAACACTACGCTTTTGTTATTTTTGTTTTTACACATCTCACGGAAATGAACTTAAAGAATTTATTTGTATCCTTTTGGACGTAAGTTAGAGCTACCGAGATAACTAAATTGGACGTACGAAAGTCTACCGAGATAACTAAATTGGACGTAAGAACACGAGACCTAGTTTCATTGTAAGCTTTAACTTTTAATAAGTACTAGATCATGATCCGTGTGGATGTGCGGATTTTATTTTTTTGGATGTATTCTATATAATTTAGTTTTATATAGTTTTGAATTTGTCCAATTCGATTTTATGTTTAAAGAACCATAGCGCCAAGCCGTATATTATGTAGATGTAATTGTGCAGTGAAAACACTAATTCAGTACGTTTGTTCAAAGTGCAACATTAAATTCAAAGTTAATTGTTTGCATTAAAAAAATAAGTTAAGAGTTTAATTACTTCTGATGTTAATAATTATCCATATTTTTTTAAAAGAATATACAAATTTTTAGAATTTCTGGCCTTAACTTTTATTTTGTAAGGTTAGGTCAAATTCAAACTTAACTTTGATGTTAAATTTGCAAGTACATATATTTTATGATATAAAATTTCATAAATAACTTAACAAATATTTTGGTAATTTGAAAGAATTTATGTGTTTAAAATATGTTTTCATTAAACCAGTATTTTTAAATTCAACTCGGACCGTGGTTAAACCAGTGATCCGATAATTCAATTTTGATTTTTAAAAATATTCATATTTAACACTAAAACTCGAGACTAACGGATCGATGAATAACTGATATGTAATATTCAACCCTGCAAAAATAAGTTTATTTTCATTGTTTTATATATTATTTAATTTTTTTTTAATTTATCTAAATAATTTGAAAGAAAATTGTGAAAATATTAAAAAAAATGTGAGTTCTAATATTATGTATTGTTTGGACATAAGATTAATGATAGTGTTGTTTGGAAACATGGATAGTAGTATAAAGAAATGAGTATATTGTTTGGAATAGATAGTAATTTAAGGAAATAAATATGTTGTTTGGAAACATAGATAGTAGTATGAAGAAATAAATATTAGTAATTTAATGTATGTATAACTATAAATTAGAAAGATGTATTTAATTTAAAAACTTACAAAATAAATGTTAGGTCCAACCTAATGTTTCTGCTTTAGTAAGATGGATAAATTTTAGTGCTCCAGTGTTATATAAACTTTCTTTGAATAATATCGAAGTCTACTTTTCTCTTTAGATGTTTACTAAAGATGTGTTACATAGGAGACATTATCGAATCTTTAGTGTAATATCCTTTGGTCATTTTCTCCTTTGAAAGTTCTTATTAATTATGATAAAAACTTAAAAAAATAGACTATTTGAGAGAATTACCCTAAAAAACTCTCTTGACGACGACGGTGATGGCAATCATTACCATCTGAGGGGGATGAAAGTTTTGGTTGGGTTTATGGTGGATCCGGGTTGGATCTCTGCGGTGATCGATTTGGGGATGGCAAGGCGATTCGATGGGGTTTTTGAGTTTGGTAAACGAGACACTAAATTTCAATATGGTAGAGTGGGTTGCGTGTGGAGTGTGGAGATTCGCTCAATTTTCTGGGAAATCTCTCAAGTAAAAGTTTATTCGGATTTTCGATTTGATGGGGAAAGGATGGCAAGATATATGGATAGTAAGATCAAAACTGAAAGGGGATTTTTACGATATCTTAAGAGATTAGATCTACTTTGTCCTGGGATTTTAATTGGGGATTGGGGTATTAAGGTGAAAGGGAGATTTGATTAGTTAGTATTGGAATATACATTTGAGAAAATTTGGTGTTTTTGTCGGGGAGTATTGAGATTTCAATCAAATATTTTGTGGGACTGTTATGATACTTACAAGGCGATACCGTATCTCTGGAGTATCATGGTTACCATCCTTATAATTGATCTAAGGAGAGTATATATATGGGTCTTTGTAGAGAATATATGGACATCAAATTCACTCGTTTTTTTCCTTATCTTTGGTTGTCTGATTACTGATTAGACATTCTCTCTTTGGTTTTTGCTGGTCAGTATGTCTCAATGGATGGTGAAGTCGAGAGGGAAGACGGTGGAGGTAACTAAACAGAGGCTGAAGATCTCGGTTCCGCGATTTGATAATACTGACCTAATTGCTAGGTATGATAGAACGTTGATCGGGAGATGTATGAACCCACCTAAGCAGAATATGAAGACACTTCTCTTCATGCTTCCTCGTATCTCGCAAGTTGAGGGAAGGGTCACAGGTACAGACCTGGGATTGGGACGTTTCCAATTTGATTTGAGGTGGAGGAGGATATACTCGAAGTGTTACAGATGGAACCCTTCCATTTCGATCACTGGATGGTATCATTGGTTAAGTGGAAGCCAGTCCTAGATGCTAATTACCCGTCCAAGATCATATTTTGGGTGTGGATTCTTGATGTGCCTCTTCAGTACTAGGCTGCGTCGATGTTCAAAGGGGTGGGTGAAGCACTGGGTCAGGTCCATGGTGAGCTTGACATGGTGGAAGGAAGGGTTTTGGTTGAGGTGGATGGTTTTAAACCGTTGTTGTTCTCGATGGAGGTGGACTTTGATGAAGGTGTGGAGTTGGTGGTAAATCTGCGGTATGAAAAGGTGGTTGGTTTTTGCAGAGAGTGCATTGTATGACGCACGATAAGACGAAATGTCCGACGTTGGAAAAAAATTTTCGTGCAAGAAGAGAACCAGTTGAGCATACACATGGGCTTCAAGATATGAGTTATACAACTGTGTGGCATGTGGAGAGGAGTATCAGGGACCCCAAGAGGAGGGAAGGATAACAATAGAGGTAAGGCAATGGTAGAGAGAAGACATGGTCTTTTAGACATGATGGGGACTATCGGGTTCATAAGGAGAGATACGCAATGAACATTGATGAAGGGTCTTCTAGGAGTGGAAGGAAGTCGGGTAATGAAGGCTCTTATGAACAGAATGGGAGTTTGGCCATTAATCCTCATGGCTTACCAAATTTTCAGAGTGGAGAGGAATTTCATACCTTGAGTAATCCGTAGAAGCTGAGGATGGACGCTTTTAAAGGTGGAAAACATATTCTGACGGAGACTCATGGGAAACAAGGGAAGGTGGAGGAAGTGAACCAATCAAATGCAAAGAAATCTCTTCAATTTGAATCAGTTGAGGGTATGGAGGGTGGGGGTAATGGGGTAGAAGAATCTCTAGGGGTTAGTAAGATGTGTGGAGGGGGTGGAGACATGGTGACTGCTTCGGAATCAGTGGAAAAGGAGAACCAATCCGCATTAGATGAAGCTAATTTAATGGTCGATCGGGTACTTCTATCTTACTCAGAACTCCTTGATGAGGAGTGGGAGGAAGGGGAGGTTCGAGAATTTATGGAGGAGGAGACGAAGAGGAAGCTAGCGAGACGTTTACTGATGGGACGTTTGAGGCGAAGATCCCACTAGTAGAGCACTAGGAAAAGGAGGATAATGAATCCAAAGCTGTGAAGAAGAAGACCATGAAGCCCGAAGTTTACAGGGGAATTACCAAGAAGCGCATCGTTCAGGCACTCTTGTCACCTAGGAAGAGTAAGATGACAAATTTTCCGGTCAAGGCTAGCAATAAAGGTAACCAAGGTAATCATGGGGATAGTAAGAAGGCTATTAGCAAGCCTAAGGATGGGACAGCATAAGGGACTAGACTAAGGCTTCTCTGTTTTTCTAAGTAATAATGTATTGTGATATAAAATCCTGCTTTTTATTGTGTTCTCCTGCTCTTAGAATGGGACTGATGTGGTCTCTTGGTTTTGTTTTGCTTGGTTGTTGCCCTCGAGCTTTTTTTATCTTTGTGGTTGAACAAGACGATTGTGTTTTCGTCATTTCTAGGTATTGAGTTGAAATGTTATGTAGGAGCTTGGTAAGGTATATGGTTGCACAAGACTATGGTTTGGATGGGATTCCGATTTGGAATGATTGTTTTGGAAAGGGTTATGGGGAAACGTATGGTGTTTTTTGAAAGAGGGAATGGGTGAGGTTGTTTTGATGCTGTTGAATGAAGGGATACAGTGGAGTCCTAGTTGGTGTGAGGTTATATGCAGACTTAATAAGTTAAAGATCTATCTTGGTTGTGATGTTTCACGGTTGGAAAATTATTTAGAAATTTAGGTGTTTTATGGTTCTGAAACAACCACAAAGGAGTACTGTCGAGTGATGAGGACTGATGGATATCGATGGAAGGGAATTGCGTTCGTATATATGTGGTTAGGGTGGGGGTGGTTGGGATATGTAATATTCTATGGTAATTTGGTTAAGTTTTAATTTTTAAAAATTGGTAAAGATGAAAGTGTTTAGTTGGAATTGTAATGGTTTAGGTAGCTAGTGACCATTAGCTACCTAAGAGAGATTTGGTCTAAACATAAACCTGGTTTCTTTTTCTTTCGGAAACAAAACAACAATTTGATTTTGTTTAATCGTTTCAATTTCATTTTGGTTATTCTCATCTCCATACTGTGGATCCTCAAGGTAGAAGTGGTGGATTACTTCTTTTGTATAATTCTATGTATAAGATCGATATTATATATTCGATCAATTGAATTATTGATGTTGGGATGGAATATAAGGATCAGCGGATTTTTTTGTCATTTCTGTATGGGGAACCTAACGAAGGACTTAAGAGATCAGGTTTGGCATGGGCTCACAAGAATGGGTATTATTAGGGATGACCCCTGGTTTATTATCGTTGATTTAAATGAAATTACGGGGAATCATATAAAAGAAGGAGGTGTATTCCGACATGCGGATACCTTTCTTAGTTTTACTAATATGATTCAAAACTGCGGTTTAATGGAGTTTCTGATTCTTGGTAATACGCTATCCTGGAGGAGACGTAGAGGAGGACATGTGGTTAGGTGTCGATTAGACCGGGCACTGGAAAATAATGATTAGCATAATTTATTTCTGTGTTCTTTTGTGGAATACTGGGGATGATTGGTTCTGACC